CACCGATCTTGGAAGACAATCCTACTCGGACAATGAGGGATTGCCTAAGTATTTTTGGGCTTGGTTCATGTTAGTCGCCCTGAGTCCCCTGTGGTGGGGTATAAATAAATAAATAAATAAATAAATAAATACATACATACATACATACATACATACATACATAAATAATTATTATTATTAAACTGCAAATCCCAGTAGCATAGCAAATGATGAGGAGGACCAACTGGAGGACCACATAATTCCTACCCACTTCCTGAAAGGCTCCAGAAAAAGGATGAGCTGTAGCACAAAGATATGCTGCCCTGACTTCAACAGAAGACTAAATCCACTTTGCAGTCCCAGCTAGAGGACACCCATTCTGTTAAGGAGATTTACGTAAAAATGTTGACATATCAAGTTTTAATTGATTCAGTTAGGTCTTTTGCAGCTGGGATTAACCATATTGGATTTAGGCCTGAAGCGGTATTAGAAGGATTTGGGGAGATAATCCAGTCTTTGTCTAGTAGCCCCTTGTTCAGTGCAGTATCTGCAGTGTAAGATGTGCCACAACAACTTGCCCACACAGTGCTATTGTAGCTTCCAGGGCACTGCACTTAAAAATACTGCACACAAGCAGAAATTAGTAATTCAGACACTGATTTGAGATTCTCAAGCAAGCTCCAGCAGTCCCAGCCATCTAAGGCCAGTCACATTATCCCCAGTGTATCTTAGATGTTCTAAAAATCGTTTATCCATATAGCTGTCCCTCTAGATTTGATTATTCACAGATTTGAATTAAAATACTGTCTTTAGGTATCTTTAGATCCTCCAATGCACCTTGAAAGTCATACGTCAAATGGTCCTGGAGGTTTCAAGAGAGAACATTTCTTTAAGAATCTCTAAATCAGGCCTGGGCAAACTTTGGCCCTCCAGGGGTTTTGGACTTCCACAATTCCTAACAATCTCAGGCCCTTTCCTTTTCCCCCTCAGCTGCTGAGGCACCTCACAAGCTCTGAGGATGCCTGCCATAGATGCAGGCGAAACATCAGGAGAGAATGCTTCTGGAACATGACCATACAGCCCGGAAGACTCACCCAGTGATTCCGGCCATGAAAGCCTTTGATAATTAATTTTGTTTGTTATTCAACAGTGGTACTCTCTGTCTCAGGCTTGGAAGTTTTTAAACAGAGAGTGACTGGCTATTTGACCGGCTATTTGTCGGGGGTGCTTTGATTGTGCATGGCAGGGGTTTGGAATGGATGGCCCATGAGGAGGTCTCTTCCAACTCTAAAAGTGCCATAATACCCTTTGAAGACAGGAAAGGAAGGCACTCCATTTAGTAGTGTGTGTGTTTTATCCCACAGCCCAAATGGGGAAAAGGAGAACTCATCTATATAAATAAAAGTGTAATGTTCGTTTGTGGAATTAACATAACTCAAAAACCACTGGACAAATTGGCACCAAATTTGGACACAAGACACCTATCAGGCCTATTGAGTGACCATCACTCATAAAAACACCGAAAAACACAGTGGAAGATACTTAAAAAGCCAAGAAATAAAATTGCATTACAATGCATGCACAAAACCACACACACATATATGCAAGCACACATATACACATATACACAAATATATACACATGCAAAACACATATACACAGACTGGGCCACATCAGTGCATGGCAGGGGACAGCTAGGCTATATACATAAAAATGTAATGTTCGTTTGTGGGATTAACATAACTCAAAAACCACTGGATGAATTGCTGCCAAATTTAGACACAATACATCTATCAGCAAATATGGAAAACACAAGAATGGCCATCAGACTGGAAAAAATCAACTTATATCCCCATACCAAAAAAGGGAAATGCGAAAGACTGCTCCAACATCCGTACAGTGGCCCTTATTTCTCATGCCAGTAAGGTAATGCTCAAGATCCTGCAAGGAAGACTCCAGCAATACATGGAGCGAGAGTTGCCAGATTTTCAAGCTGGGTTTAGAAAAGGCAGAGGAACGAGAGACCAGATTGCCAATATCCGCTGGATAATGGAGAAAGGCAGGGAGTTTCAGAAAAACATCTACTTCTGCTTCATTGACTATTCTAAAGCCTTTGACTGTGTGGATCATAATAAATTGTGGCAAGTTCTTGGTGGGATGGGCATCCCAAGTCACCTTGTCTCTCTCCTGAGGAATCTGTACAAGGACCAAGTAGCAACAGTCAGAACTGACCACGGAACAACAGACTGGTTCAAGATTGGGAAAGGCGTACGGCAAGGCTGCATACTCTCACCCAACCTTTTTAACTTGTATGCAGAACACATCATGCGATGTGCGGGGCTGGATGAATGCAAAGCTGGGGTGGAAATTGCTGGAAGAAACATTAACAACCTCAGATATGCAGATGACACCACTCTGATGGCCGAAAGCGAGGAGGAGCTGAGGAGCCTTCTAATCAAGGTGAAAGAAGAAAGCGCAAAAGCCGGGTTGCAGCTAAACGTCAAAAAAACCAAGATTATGGCAACAAGAATGACTGACAACTGGAAAATAGAGGGAGAAAATGCGGAGGCCGTGACAGACTTTGTATTTCTAGGTGCAAAGATTACTGCAGATGCAGACTGTGGCCAGGAAATCAGAAGACGCTTACTTCTTGGGAGGAGAGCAATGTCCAATCTTGATAAAATAGTAAAGAGTAGAGACATCACACTGGCAACAAAGATCCGCATAGTCAAAACCATGGTATTCCCTGTAGTAACCTACGGATGTGAGAGCTGGACCTTAGGGAAGGCTGAGCGAAGGAAGATCGATGCTTTTGAGCTGTGGTGTTGGAGGAAAGTTCTGAGAGTGCCTTGGACTGCGAGAAGATCCAACCAGTCCATCCTCCAGGAAATAAAGCCAGACTGCTCATTGGAGGGAAGGATACTAGAGACAAAGTTGAAGTACTTTGGCCACATCATGAGGAGACAGCAAAGCCTAGAGAAGACAATTATGCTGGGGAAAGTGGAAGGCAAAAGGAAGAGGGGCCGACCAAGGGCAAGATGGATGGATGGCATCCTTGAAGTGACTGGACTGACCTTGAAGGAGCTGGGGGTGGTGACGGACGACAGGGAGCTCTGGCGTGGGCTGGTCCATGAGGTCACGAAGAGTCGGAGACGACTGAACTAATGAACAACAACAACACTCAAAAAAAAAGATTTTGTCATTTGGGAGTTGTAGTTGCTGGGATTTATAGTTCACCTACAATCAAAGAGCATTCTGAATTCCACCAACGATGGAATTGAACCAAACTTGGCACACAGGACTCCCATGACCAACAGAAAATACTAGAAGGGTTTGGTGGGCATTGACCTTGAGTTTTGGAGTTGTAGTTCACCTACATCTAGAGAGCACTGTGGACTCAAACAATGATGGATCTGGACCAAACTTGGCACGAATACTCAATATGCCCAAATATGAACACAGATGGAGTTTGGGGAAATAGACCTTGACATTTGGGAGTTGTAGTTACTGGAATTTATAGTTCACCTACAATCAAAGAGCATTCTGAACCCCACAAATGACAGAATTGAGGCAAACTTCCCACACAGAACCCCCATGACCAACAGAAAATACTTAAGGCCATCCAGTCCAACTCCCTTCACTAGGGCAAGAAAACGTAATCAAAGCCCTCCTGACAAAGAGCCATCCAGCCATAGATATAGATAGATAGATATGATTCACACACACACAGTTATCTATATAAATAGAAATGTAATGTTCGTTTGTGGGATTAACATAACTAAAAAACCACTGGACGAAATGACACGACATTTGGACACAACACCCCAAACAGACCAATGAGTGACCATCACTCATAATCCCCCCCCCAAAAAAAACAGTGGGAAGGACTTAAACTCCCCAAAAAGCTAAATGATGATACAGAAAAAAAAGGGAAGGAAGAGGGAGGGAAGGAAGGAAGGAAGGGGAAAAAGAAAGAAAGAAAGAAAGAAAGAAAGAAAGAAAGAAAGAAAGAAAGAAAGAAAGAGGAAGGGAAAGAAGAAAGGAAGCATAGAAGCAAAGAGCGAAGGAAGGAAAGAGGTAGAGAAGGAAGAAAGGAGAGAAAGAGGAAAAGAAAAAGGGAGAGGAAAGAAAGGGGAAGAGAAGGAAGGAGAGAAGGGAAGAAAAAAAGGAAGGAAAGAGGGAGCAAAGGAAGAAGGGAAAGAGAGAAAGAGGAAAGAGAAAGAGGAAAGGAAAGAAGGAAAGATGGAAGCAAAAAGCAAAGGAAGGAAGGAAAGAGGTAGAGAAGGAAGGAAGGAGAGGAGGAAAGAAAAAAAGGGAAGGAAGAAGGAAAAGAGAGAAAGAGGGAGGGAAGGTTGGATTCACACACACACAGATAAAGTATCATAGATTTGAAAGGGATCCTAAAGAAGGACAATGATATGTTGCATGTTCCAGAGTAGGCAAACCAGACAATCTCCACATCAACACTGACAAAGAAACAACAAGAAATACTGTTTACCACAAGCATAAAGAAGAAATTACATATATTAGAAACCAACACTTTCTCATTACTTTATTTTCCAGATCACCAGATTGGGCCACAGCAACGCGTGGCAGGGGACGGCTAGTAATGCCTATAACCCAATGTAGTAATAGGGCTCTCTTGGGTGTGTTGAGGAGCGCGGCTGTGCTGGGTGGTGGAGGGCGAGGTGTGCTGTGCGGGGCGGGCGGTGGGGCGCCTTCTCCCCCTGGGAAACTTTCTGGGCGAGGAGCGAGGCGGAGGAGGCTCCCCCGCGGGACTCCTCCTCCTCCGAAGGCCGGGCCGTTTCGGGGGTGGGAGGCAGAGTGGGAGGGGAGAGAAGGGCAGTGGGGCAGGCGGAGCAGAGAGAGAGAGAGCGAGAGGGAGAGAGATTGGGAGAGAGAGAGAGAGAGAGAGAGAGACGAAGCGAATAGCCGTGCGCTCCTTCTGCCGCCGCGGAGACAGAGGCTGGGGCGCAAAGGCAGCGGGGCCGCTCTGTCCTGGCCAAGAGGAGGAGGAGGAGGAGGAGGAGGAGGAGGAGGGAAGCCACGGAGGGAGAGCCTCTCTTTCCCCGCGCGGGATCCCGTGGCCACCATGCGGCAGCGCGGAGGGGTCCGCCTCCTGGTCCTCCTGCTGCAGCTGGGAGCCTTGGGCTGCGGGAGAGGTAAGCAAGCCAGCCAGCAAGCAAGCAAGCGGCCCCTTTTCCCGCCCGCGTGTCGCCTGCCCAGAGATGGAGGGAACGGGAAAGAAAGACCTTTCGGGACGCAAGGAAAGCCCCTTCCCTCCTTTCCTCGCCCCACAGAGGCGCCCCCTCCCTGGCCTCCCCCCGAAAGGCGCTCAGCACGTGCTCAGGGGCACTCTTCTCGCCTCGCCTCGCCGCTCCCCGGATCGGGAGAAGACCCCGGGCGCGCCTCCATCCCGGGAGTTTGGAGCTTCTGCTCAGGGCCCTTCCACACAGCCCTGTATCACAGAATATCAAATCCCACAAGGATCTGCTTTGAACTGGGCTATTATCAGAGTCCACACTGCCACATAACCCAGTTTAAAACTGTTAAAGCGGGATCTTATTTAGCTGTGTGGAAGGGGCTGCCTCAGTGCTTAATTCTCAATTGAGAACCGAGATAGTGTATTCGAATAGATCTACGTCCTCCGGAGAAGTTGACCCTCGATTCGTGGAGAAGGGGTGAGCCCGGGCCTGGCAAACCTGGGCCCTCCTTCCAGGCTCTTAGCAATGGGGAGAGTTGCAGTCCAAAAAACCTGGGAGGAGGCCCCAAGTTTGCCCTGACCTAAAGACCTCAAGAGAACGGACTGATCAAATGTGGAAGTAATCAAACCCATAGAAGTGAAACCTGCCCATGTGAGAGGGATGGACTGTAAAGAGGCAACCCGGGGCCCTTCCACACAGCCCCATATCCCAGAATATCAAGGCGGAAAATCCCACAAGATCTGCTTTCATCTGTGGCCCCTTCCACGGAGCTGAATAAAATCCCACATTATCTGCTTTGGCAGTGTGGACTCAGATATCCCAGTTCAAAGCAGAGATTGTGGGATTTCCAGCCTTGATATTCAGAGTTAGAGGGAAGGGCTCTGGGGGCCCTTCCACACAGCCCTATATCCCAGAATATCAAGGAAATCCCACAATATCTGAGTGTGGACTCAGATAACCCAGTTCAAAGCAGATAGTGTGGGATTTCCTGTCTTGATATTCTGGGATATAGGGCTGTGTGGAAGGGCCCCAAGAAAGAGTCATGTAAGATTGCAGTACATCCACTCAGTCGAGTTTGCCCGACTTCATCTGCCCTGGCTCCATGCTCTGAACCATCCTTCTTGAGCAGAGATGTCTGAATGTAGACGGTATAAAATTGCAACTCCCCAAGCAGGGGCAGTTCTGCATTGATTCGACAGTGGAGATGCTCCCTGCTTTGTCCAGGCCGCCAAGAGAACTAGGCAGCCCCCTCTCTGCCCTCAAAGCGTTTGGGAACAAAGCAGGCTTCGGGCTCCCCCGCCCCACATGTTTGGAAGGACCCTCTCTTCACCTGGGGGCACAGACCCCTCCCACCAAGACTCAGCTCCCCAATGTTTTTTCATGCAGGAGTGGGATGGATTCCCAGGAAGAAAACAAACACTCTGCACGTGCTCAGGTGCTAGGGAGCCCCTGATGTGCCTGGGTTGCTCGAGCGCCAAGCATTTCCAGAGTCTCCTCACTGTGGAATACAAAACAGAACAAAAAAAGATGGGGCCAAGCCCTGAGGCCCTCTGGCTCGAATTAAGGCGGCGGCGGCGTAGTCGTCAGCCGAGGCTCCTTTGCCAGAGGTGGTGGCGAGTTCTTGGCGCCAGCCCATGGGGCGCCCCGCCGAGCTCCCTACCTGCTCTCTTCCCTCCCTCCTTCCCTCTTGGCCTGGCCTCCATCCGAAGAGGAGAAGGGTGGGCCTGTCTGTGGGCCCTTCCACACAGGCGAATATCCCAGAATATCAAGGCAGGAAATCCCACAATATCTGCTTTGAATTGGGTTAGCTGAGGGCCCTTCCACACAGCCCAATATCCCAGAATATCAAGGCAGAAAAACCCACATTATCTGAGTGTGGACTCAGATAACTCAGTTTAAAGCAGATATTGTGGGATTTTCTGCCATTATATTTTAGGATATTGGGCTATGTGAAAGGGCCCTGAGTCTACACTCAGATATTGTAGGATTTTCTGCCATGATATTTTGGGATATTGGGCTGTGTGAAAGGGCCCTGAGTCTGCACTCAGATATTGTGGGATTTCTGCCATGATATTCTGGGATATGGGGCTGTGTGAAAGGGCCCTGAGTCCACACTCTGATAATTTGGGATTTTCTGTCTTGATATTCTGGGATATAGGGCTGTGTGGACAGGCCCTGAGTCCATACGCCGATTATCTGGGATTTTCTGCCTAGATATTTTGGCATATAGGGCTGTGTGGAAAGGCCCCGAGTCCACTCCAGATATTGTGGGATTTTCTGCCTTGATATTCTGGGACATAGGGCTGTGTGGAAGGACCCTGTGGGGGCAGTTCATGTTCTCAGTCTATTTCCCTTCCTCATATACGCTGGACCTGCCCCGAGCCATTGATCAACTTTCTTGTCACAGTTTTCAAAGCCTTCTCCCTGCGACCCAGCCGGATTCATACAAAGCCACTGCCAGAAAAAAAGAAACTCCACTTCCTTCAGTGTATTCATGCCTGGAAACATAACCCCCCCCTCCCCTCCTTCCCTCCCCAAAGCTCTCTCTTTTGATGCCTCTGTGCCCAGCCCCTCCTCTCCCTCCTCTTCCTGTGAAGTTCATCTAAGACATTTAGTCCTTTGCTATCTTGCCTCTCCTCTGTATCCCTTTCTCTCTCTGTGTGACTTTCTCTGTTGCGGCTGAGCAGAGAGAGAGAGAGAGAGAGAGGCTTTGGCATTGTGTTGGATTCAGTGCTGGGAGGTTGTATGTGTGCAGGTTATTTCTAGCCTCAGTTGCATGTTGGGACAGCAGCCCTTCCTCACCAGGAATGCAGCTGCTCTCCTTACTAGACAAACCCCTTAAAGGTACAGCTTGAGTTGGGTGGAAATGTAGCTCGCCCATTTCTCCTTTGTCAGATGCGGGGCTCGTGTGGGTGCTGCCTGCGCATGCACATCAAAGGTGACACACTATCGATGTAATGGGGTCCCTGGAAAATATATACAGTAGAGTCTCGTTTATCCAACATAAATAGGCCGGCAGAACATTGGATAATAAGGAGGGATTAAGGAAAAGTCTATTAAACATCAAATTACGTTTTGATTTTACAAATTAAGCACCAAAACATCATATTTTGCAACAATTTGACAGAAAAAGCAGTTCAGTTCATGGTAGCATTATGTAGTAATTACTGTATTTACAAATTTAGCTTCAAAACATCCCAATGTATTGAAACAACTGTGGATCCGAGCGGAAGGCAGACTGTTGGATAATACAGAAGGTTGGATGAGTAAAGGTTGGATAAGCGAGACTCTACTGTACTTGGCTAAGTGGAATGAAATAGTTTGAAGGAGAGTTGGTTGTCCAGTTGACTTGAATCCTGAAGATGGGAACTGATAGAAGCTGATAATGTGTTATAATATGTCTATGTCCTCTGGGGAAGTTGACCCTTTGATTTGTCTAGAAGGGGCAAGACCGCAGTGTTGCTCAACCTTCCTAATGCCACAACCCCTTAATACAGTTCCTAGTGTAGTGGTGACCCCCAACCATAACATTATTTTTGTTGCTACTTCATAACTGTAATTTTGCTGCTGTTATGAATCGTAATGTAAATATCTGATATGCAAGATGTATTTTCATTCACTGGACCAAATTTGGCACAAATAACCAATACACCCAAATTTGACTACTGGTGGGATTGATTTTGTCAGGGTGATTTGGGAGTTGTAGTTGCTGAGATTTATAGTTCATCCACAATTCCATTGTTGGTGAACTCCACCAACAATGGAATTGAATCAAACTTGGCACACAGAACTCCCACGACCAGCAGAAAACACTGGGAGGGTTTGGTGAGGATTGACCTTGAGTTTTGGAGTTGTAGTTCACAGACATCCAGAGAGCACTGTGGACTCAAACAATGATGGATTTGGACCAAACTTGGCATGAATACTCAATATGCCCAAATGTGAACACTGGTGGAGTTTGGGGGAAATAGACCTTGATATTCAGGAGATGTAGTTGTTGGGATTTATAGTTCACCCACAATCAAAGAGCATTTTGAAACCCACCAATGACAGAATTTGGCCAAACTTCCAATGCAGAACCTTCCGACACAGAACAGCCTTAGTCCCTTTCCTTTTCCCCCTCAGCCACTTAACTGGCTGAGGGGGGAACAGAAGGGACCAGAGGCTGTTAGGAATGGTGGGAATTGAAGTCCAAAGCACCTGGAGGGCCCAAGTTTGCCCATTCCTTCCATAAAGTCAACTGGAAGACCTATAGATTCCAAGAGAGAAGATCCGAATCAACTCTGTTCATAATCAAATCCATCAAAGCCAAACCCACAAATCTGCTTCTGTTATTTTTTATTTCTGTTTTTTTTCTTTTTGCTGTGCTGCAATTTTCAGTTAAATATACAAAAAATAATAATGATGGTTTACAAATCAGTGCATAAAACTGATGCTAAATAAACTTTGGTAGAGTAACAGTAATATCCCTTTTCCTGGAGCAGGAGATAAGCATCTGCTGCTGTTTAAGAATTAGCATTTGCTATAGAAGGAAGTTAGACGACTGGCAGAAGTGCATCTTCTTGTTTTCTTTCTCTCCTCCTTTTGGCTGCTGCCATGTAATTTTATCCACCTGCCTCTCCAGATGCTGATTGTACGCTGGAGGAAGTTTTCTCTTCTAGACCTATAGGCTCCGATCATCATGTTCGCCCGCACTGGCCTGGGGGCACAATGGGGCCGTGTTTAGCTTAAACAATTCCTTTCTAATCAGAGACTCCTGGCTGCACTCACACACATCCCTGAGATCATGGTAGCAGGATAGTTTGAAAATGCTACATCGAGCTGGTCCTTCATGTCTTTTATTGCTAAGCAAAGGATTCTTGACCCAACATTCACTGAGAATGTGGACAAAAAATGTAAACGCAAGAGCTGCTGGATCGCTGCTTAGTGAGAGGACCGGGTGGAATTTTTTTTTTGGC